CCTATACCTCAGTCATGAAGATATTCTCCTATGTGTTCTACTAAAATACGTATGATTTTGTTTTTACATTTAAGTCTATGATTGATCTCAAATTATTTTTGGTTTATGGTATAAGGTAGAGGCTGAGGTTCATTTTGTTTTTGTAGATAAATATCTCATTATTCCAGCACCATTTGTACAAAAGAATTCCCCTTCCTCAGTGAATTGCTTTGGTACCTTTCCTAAAAATTACATGACCATAAAACATAGGTCTATTTCTAGGCTCTCTATTTAGTTGTACTGATTTGTTGATTCTTACACTATAATCACGTTGTTTTACTGTTATGTCTTTACAGTAAATCATGAAATTCGGCAGTGTAAGTCCATCAACTTTTTCCTTTCTGAGACTGCTTAGGACAATCTAGGTCCTCTGCATTTCCACATACAGATGGTCTCCAGCTTACAATGGTTCAACTTACAATCTTTCGATTTTACAATGGTGCGGGAAGTGATACACATTCAGTAGAAACCATACTTTCAATTTTGAACTTAGATATTTTCTTGGGGTAGATTAGGTGTATTAACTGTGTTTTTGACTTACGATATTTTCAACTTAATGATGAGTTTATTGGGACATGACCCCTTTGTAAATGGAGGACCATCTCTACATTTTGGAGATTAACTAAGATGAAGAACAAAGGAGGGAAAGTCTATTGTGACTCAGGAAGAAGAGATGAGATGTACTCAGATGAAAATGTACTCAGTCTGAAATTATCAGTGGGCTAGGTGGTATGGGAAAATCAGTCAGGTACCTAGCAGTTGGAAGAGACGTTTGAAGTAGAGATGTCATACAAAGACAGGTGGATAAATAACACTTTGGAAATGGCTAGAACTGTCAGGGAAGGAACACAGAACAAGAAATAAGGTAGAAACACACTTTGGGAAAAGACTAAGTTAAAGAGGTGAAGGGAAGAGAACCTACGAGCAAGAGGGAGACTGCTGAATAGAGTGGCAGAAAAAGGATAAAAGGCAGTGGTGGTCTGGAGTGCTGAAGCTGGTAGAGGGGATAATGAGCTGAGGGCTGAGAAGATGTTTGGGGAAAAAGTCATCAGTTGGTCATTAGGACCTTCAAAAAGAAAAAAAAACAGTTCCAGGAGAATGGTGAGGGCAGAACTCAAATGGCCTGGGGTTTGATAGTGAAAGAATGAGAAGTGAAGAACCAAAGGCAAGAACTCTGTTTATAGTTTAGCAGTTCAACACACAAGGATTCAAAAATGGTACAGCTGGTAAAGAAGGAAAGGTATGAAGAAGAGAGAAAGAATCAGCTCTGAGGTAGGTGTTATTATCCCTCATTTTACAGATTTGATCCTATTTGCAGTAGTCAAAATTATACTGCTATTAAGTGAAGGTGATTTATAAGTATGGTTTCAAAATATGTACTTTTAAAAATTCCATGTAGCCTTTCAAACGGACAAGCACCTCACATTGGCTCAGCTCCCTCCTCTACTCATGGTGACTGAGTTCAGTGATTTAGGGCTTTAATGACTTGGGCGTGGGTGCTAATCCAAGCTTTTTTGCTAAGTAGTGTGATATGTCAAGTTATCTGGTTGCCTCAGTTTCCTCATCTGTAAAATAATGTAGGACTATAAGACT